GCTCAGGTCGGTGCCCCTCAGCAACATCCCCGCGGGCACGCTGACCCCCCTGAAGGAGCTCCTGAGATGCCAGGGCACCTCCAAGGTCGCTGTGGAACCGGTGGGCTGCGGGACGAGCTGCGCCGGAAGGTCGGCGGCCGGCCCTGTCCTCCAGCCCACGCTGCTGGTGGGCAGTGCGGGAGACGAGGAGCTGTCGGATGTCAGCGACATCGAGGCCGACCCCGGCCCCGAGCGGTGGCTGCAGCGCCGGGCTTGCGAGCCCCCCGCCCAGGAGTCTCCGGCCAAAATCTTCCAGCGGATGAAGGTCAGGGCCCTGCGGCAGCAGCAGGACCCCGGGCCGCCCGCGGGAAGGGCGCCGCAGAGGAGCGGGAACCGCGACGTGATCCTAACTCCCACCGCCCAGCCGGTGGGGCGGCCCGGCAGGGCAGAGGAACCGCCCGAGCAGCCTATTGCCCTCACCCAGCCAGGAGCAGGTAGGTTCAGTTCCCCCTCCGGGAGATCTGCCTCCTGTCTAACCTCTAGCTCGGGGTGGCTTCCTTAGTGCTCCCCTCCCGCTCTTTCAGCGTCTGGAAAAAGGAGCCAATGCATGTTCGTAGGTGTGAAAAAATGTTGGTACCAGTACTGGGTGTCCCCCCTCCCAAAAATAGTTTGGACAGAGAGGTTTTCTTGATACTGAAATATGTTTGTGCCATAGTTGATGTCTCTTCCCGTTTATTTACCTCAAAGGAATCCCTCCCATGATATTTTCTCCCTTTTTTACTCAGTCTGGCTTTAACTGCTCCCTCTGCGCTGTTTGGGAATGAGATTTGCCCTTTGTAACATCTTGAAAAACAGAGAATTACACTTGATAAGTTTAAAAAATCAGCACAAGTACTTCAAGTAATCTCCGCGATCAATACCAAAAGGAGAAAGATTGGTGGAAGAACTGTTTGGGGTTCGAAGTGCTTCTGGGGCATTTCCCTGGGCAGCCTGGTCTGATGGCTGTTCCAGTGCATCTCCTGTTTCTGCCCAGTTGGTGCAATATGAACTGGAAGCACTGTGCCCCCCTCCTGTAAAGTTGCTGCAGGCAAGTAGGAGTGGCCTTCATCTGGATCATGGGGATCTGGAAAGGGAACAGTGTGATGGTTTAGGGCTGGGCTGGCCACTAAATCCTGGACGGATGCTCTCTATTAACCCCTCTCCCCTCCCCAGAAGGGAGGAGAAAAGAGAATAAGGGAGAGAGACTTTACGGGTTGGAAAATAAACTAACAGATTTAATGAAACAATAATACTAATACTATAGAGTAATATTGTAAGTAGGAAAATAATGAAATATATACAGATATGTACAAATATATATACAAATCCAATATAAAATCCTCCCCCCACTCTCCCTCAATGACGATTATGTCACCCGAGCCTCTGAGGAGCAGGGCACTGGAAAAGTCTGAGTCTGGACTCGGCAGCAGGTGGGAGCAGGATGCAGGAACACACGAGTCAGATCAGAGGCAGATGAACCAGCAGGGTCTGCTCGGACTGTGACCATGAACAGCGGTCAAGATGGAAGGGCTCCAAGATGGAAGGGTCAAGACCCTCGTGGTCCCTCAGCTTTATACCAAGTATGATGTATGTGGGATGGAATACCTCGTTGGTCAGTTTTGGATCTGCTCTCCCCTGTAGGTGCAGACACAGCACCCATGGTGAGACAGTGGCCTTGATATTATCACACTGGAAAAAAACATGCTGCTAGTTTCAGCAAGTTCAGCCACTTAGAAGAGACTGAGCTGAAAAGTGAAATCACTTAATAGAAAATTAGTTCTATTTAGCTCAAACCAGGACACAGAGATGTTTTAGAGAGGATGGTGTCCTGCAAAGGTGCCCTGTTATTCTCATGGCATGATCTCCCACAGCAGGTTACCCACTGAAACGTTGGCTGGTTTTTCAGAAGGGTTATGCTTCATGGCTACGTGTGTTCCTGTTTGAAGTACTGTGCTGAAGGACAGGACACCCACCAGAGTGACCTGGACAGGCTTGAAAATTGGGCCCATGGGAGCCTCATGAGGTTCAGCAAGGCCAAGTACAAGGTCCTGCACATGGGTTAGTGTCAGTACAGGCTGGGGGTGAAGGGATTGAGGGCAGCCCTGAGGTGAAGGGCTTCTGGGTACTGGTGGATGAAAAGCTGGATGTGTGCTGGCAATGAGTGCTTGCAGCCCAGAAAGCCAACATGTCCTGGGCTGCGTCCCCAGCAGCGTGGCCAGGAAGGTGAGGTAGAGGGGGGATTCTGTCACTCCACTGTGCTCTGGTGAGGCCCCCCCTGCAGTGCTGTGTCCAGCTATGGGGGCCTCAGCAGAAGAAGGACATGGAGCTGTTGGAGGGTGTCTAGAGGGCTGGAGCAGCTCTGCTATGAGGACAGGCTGGGAGAGTTGGGGTTGTTCAGCCTGGAGAAGAGAAGGCAGCGGGGAGACCTTAGAGCACCTTCCAGGACCTGAAGGGACCACAGGAAAGCTGAGAAGGGACTTTTTACAAGGGATGGAGAGATGGGATGAGGGGGAATGGCTTTAAACTGGAAGGGAGGAGATTCAGACTAGATATAAGGAAGAAATTCTTTACTGTGAGGGTGGTGAAACACTGGCACAGGTTGCGCAGAGAAGTGGAACATCCTTATCCCTGGAAACATTCAAGGTCAGGTTGGACGGGGCTCTGAGCAGCCTGATCGGGTTGAAGATGTACCTGCCCATGGCAGGGGGGTTGGATTAGATCACCTTTAAAGGTCCCTTCTGACCCAAGCTATTCTATGCTTTTTTGTTAAAAAATGAAGTTTCTAAAGTTTTCTTTCCCTTTTAACAACAGATTTCCAAAAGGTATATATTTGCTCTTGAATTATCACACCAATTGTAAATGATTTTGGGCCTAATATCAAAAGGGAGGGGTAGTATTGGTGCTACTTGTTAGACCTTACTATGATAAAACTCACCCCATCTGTGGGCACCTCCAGGCTCCTGTGATTCCCGGGGGCTGGGTTACACCCAGCTGTACACACACACACACACACACACACATACACACACACACACTCTGAAGGGTTTCTCAGGTGCTGCTGAGGCAAGGTAACAACTAACCCCTGAGGAGAAGGGAAGGGTTGTATTGCCTATCCAACTTGGGAAAGAAAAGTAAGCTTATTGTTGTATAGTAGAGCTTAGTATCGTATGAATTATGTACTTTTCTTCCTCCCCATTAAAATATTTTTCTTCCCCAGATTCAAAGATTTTTTGGTGTTGTTATTTTCCAGGCATACATTGTGCTCAGGTTCCTGAGAACCCAACCAAGAACGCACTCGATGTGTACCCTTTCGTACTGGAATCCCCGCAGAAGTTCTTTTTGCGTGTGAAGTCGAAATTGCAGCAGCAGCAAAAAGGTGCTTGATATTGCTCTTAAAAACACCTGCAAAGCTTCCTTGACTTCAAAAGTTAACATTAGCAACTGAAACAGGCAGTGCTTTCACAATTGTAGTGCTAATCAATACAACCCCCTCTTACAAAAAATGAAGCTAACTTTATGAATGTATTTTTATTAGTTCTCAGATATTACTAATTTCTTTGTTATTCCTTTTTTTTTTAATGAGCAGATCCAACACTTTTAAACCCAATTATGCAGAATGTTCCTCCATCCACAACTACAGAAAAGCCATCAGTCAAACCTGCTTTTGCTCAGCAGCTCAGGAATGCTCCTGCAGACTTTGTGGCCTCTAATAGCAATGATCAGGACGATTTCCTTGTGGAATTGATGGATGCTGATGATGAAATGTCTCAAAATACAGTGATGAGTTCTGTGAATGTAATCTCTGCCCCCTTTCAAAATGAGGATTGGTTAGAAGAAAGGTGGGGAAATGGAGAAGCAAAACATAATGAACTTTATCAAGACAGAAGGGAACCACAGCCAAGCAATAAGCAAACTGCTCACCAAGTGGAAAAGGTCCTGAAGGCTGATTCCCAAAAGGCCTCACAGTGCTTCTGTAGTATTATGCTCTCTACTCCCAAAGTCCACATTCCCAGGATACAAAAGCTGAAAGAAGGCTGTAATGTCCCGGTGGATAAAGCTCATCCAGAGCAAGCTGCTGGCAAAGCAGACAAAGAGGTGGGAGAACTTTATACTTCAGGTTAACTGATGTGTTCCCGTGGGCTGCTTATAGCTGGGATGTATTTATTTTTTTCCTTGTCAGAAGTAATGAGCACTCAGAAGAGATTCAACTATTATTGTATTAGATTGTACTGGTACATGCTTTCCCGTCAAAAGGATTTCTTTTTTCCAGACTCCCAGATGACAATGTTCTGAGGTTGTTTTTTTGTGGGGAGGGAGTTTGTTGTTGGTTTTTTGTAGAAAAGAAGTTTAGTGTTCATAAACCATGGTTTGATAAAAATTACATCTATGATGAGCTCTGATTTAGATAAGGAACAGATTTAGATAGATCTGTTAATGTCAAAGATCTGGAGCTGCGTAGAAGATGCTGAAAGTGATGTTGTTGGACACTGCAGCTCTGAGCATCGTGCAGGTGCTGGCTGTGCATGCCAGGTCCGTTTCCTCAGTTGGGGTTAAATCATTGTAAAGATCTTCAGTGAAGTCAAGGCTGATGGTCAAAAGGCAAACATCATTAAAGAAAAGATCTGGAGTTTATTGGCTGAAGTTTTGAGGAGAAACAGTAGTAGTTTCAGATGTTAAAAAATCATTTTCAGATGTTTTTAAAACAAAGTCTCATGTTTCACACAGTTCCAAACTGCAACTCTGGTGCAAGTGGCTCGCTGGCTGATGAATGTAAAATGAAGGTACTGCAGCTGTGTGTGTGTCAGCAGTTTGCAATAGCAGATATAGCCATTTTAATACAGCCAAAATTTTAGCAATAATGTAGCTAATAAATACAATTTTATTTTTTCATTGATAACTTCTGAACATTAATGGGGGACAGATGACAAAGTGTAAGAGGTGAGGCATAATGTTGGTATTTTTTGTGAGGAGCTTTTTGGATTTGTCTTGGCCTCCACAAATTGACTCCAGCTTGATTGTACTTCAACAGTTGTGTGTAATGGCTGTTTTCAGTTTTTCTGGTCTGGAGGATGGTGCCTAAGTATCTTCTCAAGTTATACAGGAGTTAATGTCTGTTTTGTTAGTGCCTTGGTGTTATTGCATAGCTTTGTCTAATCTAAAATTTTATTCTTTTTTGTAGCAGAAGAGTGTCTGCCTATCCAGTTGGAGAATTAAAGTGATGGACGGTAACACTGCAATATATGTTGAAGGAAAACGGAAGTAAGCAAGTTTTCTGATTGAAAAGCTATGTAAATCCTGTTGGTGGGGCATTGGTTTCACAGCTGTGTGGAACAGCTGATCCTCTTGCTGAGTGTCCCTCAATGCCAGCAATGTATCTTCTTTTCCTTTGTACTGGGTGTATCTGATAGGTGGTGCTCACCCCGTGTGCTTGGTTTGCTGCATAGACCCTGCTGTTAACAGTTTGTGACAAGTTACACAGTTGAATACTTTCACTCTTGTTTGGGTTTCAGTCCTTAATACTGTTCAGTAGTTTGGTCTGTTGGTTACTGTTGTAAAAGTATATTTTAAAAAACTCAAAACCAAAAAAAACCCAGCACCCTATGTAGATTTTCTGCTTTAATGCTTGGGTCCAACTTTATTTCTCATGGAGAAGTCCCTTAGTTTCTTAAAAACTCCAATTTTTCCACATATTAGGGTCCTTGTTCAGTTGTTCCCTTTAAATAGGAAGGTCAGAATAAATATAATAATCCTGGGGAAAATACGCAATTGACCTGTCTAATGGTACTTTTGTAACTTGTGTAATGCTATCAGTGCAATGATGAGCTGGACGGAGCCCCTCAGTCCATTTGCTCCTGCAGGTGCTGCTCTGTAACTGGTGTCAACTGCAGTGGTTGACAAGTTCATTTTTCCTCCTGCCCAAGTATTGGACAAGGCCAGAACAGTTTCTCTTCCAAACTAAGAAAATAAAACCTAGCACATTCTCCAATGTCTGTATTGCTCATAAAATATGTAATGCTGCCAGTCTCATATGGAATATCAATATTCTAGTTCTAAAGTTTTATGAAAGCAGTGGTTTATTTCTTTTCGTTGCTATCTGTCTTTTCTTAGCGATATGAAAGACCTGTTTTGGCATAGCAATGCAATTATGGAACGCATAGCGCACAACAAAGTTAAAACATCCTCTGGCACAATCTACCTGCTACAGGGAAATATAGATTCAGTTTCGATGAGGAAAGAAGGTAAGAAGATGATTTTTAATGAGACATTACAAACCAAGAAGGGCTTCAGATTTACCATCGAACTGCTGCTGAAGCAAAGGTTTTGTCCCAAGCTGCTAATTGGGCTTGGTGGGTATTTGGAAAGCAACTCTAGCATGGCATTTCCAACTGCTATCTAACGGGATGGTGGCAGCGTTTTTGGGGTGCTGCTGTTAACATAGCTTTCAGAGCATGAAGTTTGCTAATGGGTACGTTATTTTAAATAAACTCTTTTTTTGCTAAGATTGCCTTTATGTAACTTTGGTCAATGTTTTGGCATTTAAATAGTGCTAAGACATTTAAACAGGGATTGTTTATACACTACTGGAATTACTCTGGTGTTTGCATTCTGTCTGTGACTTTCTGTGACTTACTGTTCAGCAATTAACAAGTAGCTGTGCAATGCTGCAGGAAACTTCTGTTTGGAAACAGACTAGTTATGGTGTCAGTGCTTTGTAATTTGGCAAACTGACCCATCTTTAGGGTCTAAGAGGTATTATGTTACACCAAATCCAGCAAAATTTCTGTACTCTTCTTTGTGCTCTTGCTCAAAGCAAAAAGAAGTTATCCTGATAATATGAAAACGATAAAATAAATTTACCCTGATACAGGAAGTTCCAAACAGCTTAGACCTAACCAGAGTCCAAAAACCTCTGGTTCTTCAGGGGACTCCTGGCACTGCGGACAAGCCAGGTGCCAGAAAGGTGAATGGAGAACTCTTGTGCTCTTGCTTCCCAGGAAGCTCAGATGCGATCTCCAGACACTGACATCTGCAGTTAATGGCCCCTTAGTTGACGTTTTTGTGAATGCTCTTCCCCTCAACTGGGGAAACCCCTCTGTAGTGTTCAAATGTATAGGCAACCTCTGAGGTTCTTACAAAACCACGATCACACTGGATATTATTTGTACCCTTTCTGAGCAAAAGTATTGCTCAGCTATTGATAACGCTGCTTTTGTTTCAATCAGGATTCCCCTACCGCTTCATCAAAAGGTTTATGTATGGGTTTTCCAAAAAGTGGAAGGAATATGTAGAGGAATTTCTTGAGGAAAGAAGAAGGTAATTTCTTTGGAGATTCTGTTTCATTGCACTGTTCTTTTAAGTATTTATTGAGATTTTGCTTTTTAAGAATACTACACTAGAGGAGCATGTAAGATTGTAGATGTGTGCGTAAACACAAGTGAAGGATGTCACTGCAATGGTGGCTCACAGGGGATGCGTGAGCGCAGCTGCACTGTGCTGTTGGGCTCTTGCCCAGGTGCGGAGAAGACTTCAAGCTTGCTTAAGTTAATGTGTTAAAGGACGGCTGCTTCAGATGTTTATTTCTTGTCTTAAACTCCAAACCATTAGGAAAGAACAAAACCAAAATACTGGTGAGTCTGAAAATGAAGAGAGTGACTCGGTGGTGGGTACGGATGTGGCAAAAAATGCAGAAGACTCAGCAAGAAATGTAAAGAAACCCAAAACCAGAAACACCACCTATGAGGTGTTACCGAGGAATGATGAAAACACATGTGAGTATTGAGTAATCCTTGGCCTTGGAAAAATGGTGGGGTTTTCTGAGAGCTGCTTTCCCCAGCAGAAGATCCTGAGTTTCCAGCTGGTTTGTATCCTGTTGTGGGAAAAGTTGGCTTTGTTTCCAAAGGAAATGGATGTAAAGCCATAAGGAACAGATGCGCCTGTGTTTGCTTTGCTTGGTAACACAACCCTTGCCTTGGTGTGGGCACCAGAAGCTTTTGGGCTTAGCTGGGACTTTTTTAGTATCTTGTCACAGGGCTTTGGCCAAACTTCACTGTACTCTTGCTTATGCTGTAATAGGACTTTCTTGCTAACACTGTAAAAGCTGGTTTCTTTTTTTCTCATTACAGTTAGGATTTGTTTCTTTATCATTCTACTGCCCTATGTGGCTTTTACAGTATTTATAACCTTCTAAACAAAGCGAAAATAAAAAGTGCACAACAGTAAGTTTTACAGTTTGTGAAGGTTATTACGAATTCCATGATGTTGAGGTATGCTTATTTCTAACCCGAATGCCTTTAAAGGAACAACATAACATTGTGGCAAGGTTTATATTTTCCATGTGATCAGTGCAAATGAGCTGGTTTAAATACAACACTGCTCCTGTGCTTGTGAAGGCTGCAGAGCTGAATTTTCAATACAATATTTGGGACAAAACCGTATTTCTTGTTTTTTCTTGTAGATACAACACCAAAGCGCAGCTCCATTGTGAAAGACTCGGACAAAGTTTACACTCGCAGCGGACGTCTTGTTAAACCACCATTAAATTTCTGGTGTGGGCAACGCGAGTTAGTTGATCAGAAACTAAATGTTACTATAGAAGAAGGTGGAATAGATTATCTGAGCATGGTAAGAGTCTTCTGCGTGTTACTGAAAGGTATCTTAAATATCATGAATAAACCTGGCTAGGTGTCTAAGAGTCCAGTTCTTACAAGTATCTGAAGAGGCAGAAAATCTTATACATTATAAAAGCATTTTAAAACAAACAGACGATCTATATGATCAGATAATTGTTGTCTGTAAATTGGAGATAATTGGGAATTGTATCTAGACAACTAAGTGGGTTTTTTTGGAAGAGAAATCTGTCAAACAGGAATTTACACACAGTTTAGGTTGCAGAGGTTCCAAAGTAAAACACTTTCTGTGACACTAAGTCCCTGCCACAGCGTGTGACCACATGGGGATGTCAGGTCTTAACATTTTACCTTGTGTTTTACAATATTTAAATTTAAAGGGAGCCTGATTAAGGTGCTTTGGTTGCATGCATTTGTATAAACACCTGTACATGAAGTAGCATTTAGCAGATACTGGTCAATGTAGGTGACTTCTGAATCTACCCATCCTGTAAATATTTGGCTTTTTCAGAGCTGGCGTCAGTAGGCTTGATATGTAATCTCTTGTAGAAGTTTTGATTAGATTGTTTTGTTTTGAAGATGTTCAGTAGTGAAAAAAAACCAAAAAAGACCAGATCTGTCTCTAAGAAGAATACAAGAAAGGAAGCAACGGAGACAACAGAAGAAACACCAGAAAGCCGAAGTAAAGGTAATTTTTTTTTCTTTCTTTGAAGTTTTTGACTAGAATCAGTTAGGTTATGAGTTTGGTGCTGGAGCAGTATGATGATGTCCTGTTAATGCTAAGAAATTATTTAAATCTTTTAATCATCGAATTGTTGCCTCTCTGAAGAGTTTTCAGAGCAGCATCACAGAATCACAGAATATCAGAAGTTGAAAGGGACCTCGAAAGCTCATCCAGTCCAACCCCCCTGCCAGAGCAGGATCACCAGACCAGGTTACACAGGAAGGCATCCAGGCGGGTTTTGAATGTCTGCAGAGAAGGAGACTCCACAACCTCTCTGGGCAGCCTGGTCCAGTGTTCTGTAACCCTCACAGTAAAAAAGTTTTTCCTCACGTGCGCATGAAACCTCCTATGCTCCAGCTTGCACCCATTGCCCCTTGTCCTGTCATTGGACATCAGAGAGAAGAGCCTGGCTCCTTCCTCCTGACACTCGCCCTTTACAAATTTATAAACATTAATGAGGTCTCCCCTCAGTCTCCTCTGCTCCAAGCTAAAGAGACCCAGCTCCCTCAGCCGCTCCTCATAAGGGAGATGGGCCACTCCCTCAATCATCCTTGTGGCCCTGCACTGGACTCTTCAAGCAATTCCCTGTCCTTCTTGAACTGAGGGGCCCAGAACCCCTGGTTCTACAGCTCTGAATATCAACATTTGTCAGTCACTTCTTTCTCTATGCAATGGGAAGGTGCAGATTTCTTTCTGGAAGTTAAAATGAAAAGCTGATGATTTTTCTGGAGTTTCTGCTCCTGTGCTTTGGATCTCTCCACACAGCAAAACCATAGAACCCTGAGAACAATGTAAATATAGAGCAGGAGTTTCTCTTTTAAAGCAACATAATGTTTCCTGCAGAAAAGCTCTTGGTAGCACAAGTAAAGCTGTTGGGACATTTGTGTACTTGGCCTATTAGTGTAGTATTAGGCCTTCACTTAATCATTCTGAAATGCACACATGGGAAAGGGGTAGTGATCTCAGGCAGCTTCACTAGGTACTGGTTTTACTCAGCCGTGTTTGGTAAAGTTGTGGCCATCCCCTGACAGCAGGAA